CATGCGTTACATTATGTAAAATAATAGCTAATAATAAGCGATATCAGAAATTTGTTGAACTTTTGTAATTCTGTACAATTGGAGAATTAAAGTTTTAAGTTTTCAACTTTAGTCAAGGTTTCATTTTGATTTTCACTTCTGAAAATGTCAAGCAACAGTCAGTTTTTGTGACTAAAATGCCCTACTTTTGTGGGAACTGTTCTTTTTGAAACTTCATAGGGGAATTCAAAACAAATAAGTTGACAGATTTTCTATCAAACTATGGAAATTAAATAATATAAGAACACAAAATTCACCTGCTTCTCTGGATATGTCGGACAAATGTCCTCTCAGTGCAAGAGTGGTATCCTAACTCTGTCCCTTAGCTGTTGTTATTTTTGACTACAGCAATGACTTGTAATCCTCTGTTAAGATAAACCACTCCTGTCAACAGTTTCAGCACGTAATCTGAGAGGACACTGGAAATTATTCCAAACGTCAAGATACATTTTCATCTCTGCTCATTCAGTAAAAGTTGAATATAAAGATTTTAAATAGAAGCTAACACTATGTTCTTGCACCAAAATTGTCATTTTTCAACAATCACTCAATCACTCAGTGAAAAACACTCATTTTAAATCTTATTTGTGCAGCTGTTATTTAAGGTCTTACCTGAGCTGCCAACTTTTCTTGTATTACATTTCCAGGAATCATGTGTTGCTCTTTTAACTTTTATGGAAAGTACAGCAGCATGAAATTAGTATCAGATACCAGAGACATGTATACTGTGCAACTATACACCAGTGACATTCTGACGCTTCCCCAACATTAGCACTCGGTCCTGGCTGTCATATCAAAATTAAATTGATGCAACTGCCTATCATAAAATGTGTCAACTGAAATCTGATCCCCAAGTATTTCTCTGGATTTATTGGAGCAGACACTTCACAAACCATGCTGTGCACTCTTGCTATGTAGTATTGAATAAACTGTGAACATAATAAGAGTAGTAAATACTGTATTTACAAATAAGTTAAAAATGATGTTTTAAAAGTGAAATAACATTATAAGAAAATGCATTAATAATATATATCTGAATGTATAATATAGTCGAATACAGTTCTATGTAAAATAAATCAACACTGAAATATTTACAGATTGACTTACCAATACTTAATTAGAATATGTAAGAAAAAATTTTAATTAATATTTGTTTTTTAGATCCAACAGTATTTTATCTTCTTTATTATAGATGTTAAAATTGACTATAAAATTGTGTTTAAAAAATATTTTTGACATTTTTTTTGTCTCATGTTTAACAGAAAAAAAAAAATCACAACTATTCTGTCAATCATAAAGTAACATAGAGGTATTTTAATAAGTACTCATGGTATCAGCAATGAGTCGATAACTGTCAAGTAACAAAGTGACAAGCATACTGTACTTTACCAAATCAAGTAACAGCTGTGCTGAGCAGACACACTCGAGCATATATAAGCAGCAACTCTGGAAACCCAATCCAGCTGACAGGCATGCGACACAGGTGAGTGTGGTCAATTATTCACTGGTTACCATATTTTAACGGTTTAAACATTCCTGTTAAATATGTTGCTGCTGTTTGAGTGTAGTAGCACTTTGGTCAGTCAACTGAATGAATAAATATTTTTACTGAAATATGATGGCTGAAATATTAGACACAAAGGAGCAAAGCAACTTCATTTTGGCATTTCTTTACATTGCAGCATCTTTACACAAGATACCATTAGTTTTCAGTTGGGATCCAGTGAGGTAAGTGGTTCGATGTAAATGACATTTTCATGATTTTCAAGAACTCATAAATGGTCACATTGTTTCAATTTATGTCATATTTTCAGCCTCCAGTAAAGTGCCACCATGAGCACAGACGCAGAGATGGAGCAGTATGGCCCGGCAGCCATTTACCTCCAGAAGCCAGAAAAGGAGAGGATTGAGGCTCAAAACACCCCATTTGATGCAAAGACGGCCTTCTTTGTTACTGACGAGCTATATGTCAAGTGTAAACTTATCAAGAGGGAGGGTGGTAAAGCCACTGTTGAGACAGAGGGAGGAAAGGTAGGTAAAAATTCTTTCCATTTTACGTCTATATATTTGTCATCCTGTCTATGTAAACATTTGTCTGCTATATCTTTACACAACAAACACCCTGTTGATTATTTAAAAATTGCTTTCTATTCAGACGGTCACTGTGAAAGAGGAACACATCCACCCTAGGAACCCTCCAAAGTTCAATAAGATGGAGGATATGGCAATGATGACACACCTTAACAAGCCATCTGTGCTGTTTAACCTCAAAGAGCGTTTTGCATCATGGATGATCTACGCAAGTTTTATTTGAAGGTTTATCTAAAAGAAATAAAATGTAAACGAACAATGAAAAATGTAAGCAACCCTTGTGCTCACTGCTATGACAAAGACCTACTCTGGGTTGTTCTGCGTCGTCGTCAATCCCTACAAGTGGCTTCCTGTGTATGATGCTACATGTGTAGCGGCATACAGAGGAAAGAAGAGGATTGAGGCTCCACCCCACATCTTCTCCATCTCTGACAATGCCTATCAGTTCATGCTCACTGGTAAGTAGTAGTTACTGTTAAAGTTTGATTATTTATTTGTTTGTATCACTCAGTATAACATAACAAAAATTCTTTATACATATATACATTAATATTATTTGCGTTATACATTATTTGCATGTCTGAACCAGAATTAACACACTTAAGGATTAGGGAACAAAAACATAATATAGTACAGAATTAAACTGCAGGTTAATAAATAAACTAATAATTAAATAAATGCCTAACCATAAAAAAACATAAATACTGTTGTTGATATTATGATGATGACTAGCGTATCGATTCTGATATATTCTATATATGTAGATTCTTGATATAGCGTCCAATATTTAAACCAAAATATATATATTTTTTGTTTCATTCAGAACACCAGTCTTTTGAACACCAAGAAGAAGCTGGAGACTGACCTTGTCCAGGTTCAGGGTGAGGTGGATGATGCAATTCAAGAAGCAAGAAATGCTGAGGAGAAGGCCAAAAAGGCTATCACTGATGTGAGATATTTTTTTTCTTCTATTTTGTTTTTCACTATTACAGAGTTCTGAAATCTCTATTTTGCAGTTCATGTTAAGTTCAATTTTAATGTAGAACAGATTTAAAATTTTGGAAATACTTCATCACTTCAGGCTGCCATGATGGCTGAGGAGCTGAAGAAGGAGCAGGACACCAGTGCTCACCTGGAGAGGATGAAGAAGAACCTGGAGGTCACAGTCAAGGACCTGCAGCACCATCTGGATGAGGCAGAGAACCTCGCCATGAAGAATGGCAAGAAGCAGCTCCAGAAACTGGAGTCCAGGGTACAAACTATACACAGTAATAAAACTACTTTCACAATGGAAGTCTACCTTTGTGTAGACATGTTCTTTTGCCCTCATTGAGACTTAGTTTTTCTTGTAATTTAATTAATTATGCTTTAATTAATTTACTTGTTTTCTTTTATTTGTTATTTATTTATATCTATATATATTTATATATGTATCTTTATTATTTAGTTTTGGTGTACAGCACTTTGCGTCAACTATGGTTATTTTAAAGTGCTTTTTAAATAAAGATGATGATTATGAGGTAGAATTAAGACACTTTTATTTCTATGCTTTACTATGGCAATAATAATGTAGCTACATTTTTTTATTATATTATATTCTTTTATCAAATTCCAGGTGCGTGAACTGGAAGCTGAACTTGAAGCTGAGCAGCGACGTGGAGCTGATGCCATTAAAGGAGTCCAGAAATATGAGAGGAGAGTGAAAGAGCTCACCTACGAGGTAATTAATTATCTAACTAAAAATGATCTAATTTCTTGTGCCCATTCCCTTTCACTTACAATCCAAATTGTTTACACTGAGGAGGACAAGAAGAACATCACAAGACTTCAGGATCTGGTCAACAAGCTGCAGCTCAAAGTCAAGGCTTACAAGAAACAGGCTGAGGAGGCTGTGAGTCAACTACAATTATATGACAAATTTCCTTCAGCTTGGTTCATAGCACGCCCATTGACTCCCCTATAACTAAATCAGTATTTTTGTAAATCCTTTACAGGAGGAGCAGGCAAACACTCACATGTCCAGGCTCGGGAAGGTCCAGCATGAGCTGGAGGAAGCTCAGGAGCGTGCTGACATTGCTGAGTCCCAGGTCAACAAGTTGAGAGCCAAGAGCCGTGATGTCGGAAAGGTAGCAACTTCTGTCCAAATATCCAAAAAAAACAAAAACAATTGTGCACATCATTAAGTAAGACACATTGTAATGCTTAAGCAAAAATTATTAAAACAAGATATGTTAAAACAGAAAAAGTCTTCAGAGGATTCAAATAACTTAAAACCTTTAAATAACTATTTTTTTCTGTTTGTTTGTTTTTTCAGAGTGAGTCTGCTCAACAGATTTCATAAAATATGAATCATCTGTTGGATGCATTTTATACTGCAAAATATCAATAAATGTTTTAAAAATGACTCATTCATTTTAATGTTTCTTTGCTTTCATAAAATAATGTTTAGAATGTAAATGTAATCAATTAAGAGGGAGCTATTAAAAGTAATAAATAAAAAGCCATACTGAATTGCTTAGTAGCTTGAAAAGGAGTATTCAGAAGGAATATTTATTAGCTCTACAGATAGCCATATAATGCAGAAAATATCTAAGAAGTAATAGCTGCTGCAACCAGTATTTTATGTGAAAGACATGTAAAAGGCCAAACTTACCTGTGGATTTACCAAAGGTTTTTAGAGTGTATTTTTCATGATAAATCAAATAATAAATACATAAGTATACATAAATTAAATAAATCAATGAATTTGAAAATGAATTTAATGTTTGTTAATTAAACAAGTTTCTGTTACTAAAAGATTCTCAGTAAAACTTCTGATAGTGTCTTGGTTTTATACAGATCTAGTGAGCTAGGTGGCTTATTAAAAGTGACATATTTAGACACAAACCATTTGCTAAGAACTGGTCAAATTTATTGTATGTATAAGAAAGTTATTTATTTTCATTTGACAGCTTTTCATTTTATGAATTGACTAAATGGCAAGAGAATAGGGCTGATAACTAAGGGACTGTTCATGGTCAGCATCTTAACCTGTCAGTGTTATTTAATTGTTTTCCAGTTTTAAGGAGTGCAGTCAGATATATATATATACATATACACATATATTATATATGTGTTGGTCAGGCTTCACTAAATATGAGCTAGACACAGTGATGAAGCTCAGTGGCCATCTATTTCCACTGGGCAACAAAAGGAGAAGTCTAGTGTACAAACAATAAACAGTAGTAAGAGCTAGTTACTGTTAGTAACTAGCTCTTACTACAGTGCACATCTAGCAGAAAAGGAGAGGTCTGACTCAGAACGCCCCATTTGAAGCCAAAACAACTTTCTTTATAACTGATCCCAATGAGCTGTATGTCTAGTATAAAGTGATTAAGAGAAAGGGTGGCAAAGCCACAGTGAAAAGATGGTATATTGGTACACAAAAAAGACACTGTTGAATATTTAAAAACACAATTTCTATTTGGGTGGTCACTGTGACAGAGGGAATTTAAGCATAAAACCCTTCAACGTTCAGTAAACATGGCAAAGGCACACAATGGAAAAGGCACATAGCTGGTTAAGAAGGAGGAGGAAAAGTTTACATGAATGTACCACTAGTATATTTAAAATCCTCTCTTTCAAGGTTCCATTGAGGACCAAACCATTTCAACCAACCCTCTGTTGTTGCAATGTTTTAAATCTGAACAGGAAAATCAGTTAAATTCTGAAACCACCTGGTAACCAGTGACAAGAGACAAAAACAGTTTAATCTAGATATAAACCTCAATCCAATCCAATCAAATCAAAATTAATTTCTATAGCACATAATAATACAATGAAGTTGTGCTTCGCAGTCGGTCAGAGCAATAGCATAAGACAGAATAAAAAAAAAGAAAACAGTTAAAAGTTGTATTTCATTTTATTTACAGTATTTTATTGTGAATATATTTTTCTAAACTTTCAGAACTTCAGTTTTTTAACCCTAAGAAAAAGCTGATGGCTTACTTGTCAGCAGAGATGGGCAGTAACGCGTTACTGTAATCTGATTACTTTTTTCAAGTAACGAGTAAAGTAAGGGATTACTATTGCAAAAACGGTAATTAGATTACCGTTACTTTCCCGTAGGAACGCTGCGTTA